GTAATGAAATGCTTCTTCTAATCATGTGGTTATTAAATAATTTAAAAAATATTTCTCTATTGCTGAGTTTTTTTTTTAAACAACCCAAGATTATGAAAAAATTGCTGTCAGTTACTTGGCAGATGTTTGGTTCATTTTTTGCTTAGAATAGTCAGACTAATTCCTAATAATTACTTATTGTGTATGATATACACATGGTATTTGAGGCCTTAGGGGTAAGCAGGCAGGCCCTACGATTATCTTCATCAAGGAAAAGGATTCTATTTACATACTGAACTTTAGCATTCTTCTGAGTAAAAAGTAAGTTGACTTTTAAGGGTCTTGTGAAAAATATGCCACTGTGAATATTTTTATATTGAATACAATTATATGTAGACTATCCTTTATTTTCAAGTTTCTTCAGGTTGTCAAAATCCATTCATTAGATCTTATCTAGTGAGCAGATCAATTCACCTGTAGCAATATTTTCTTGTGGTATTTTTCCCACCTTGTAAGCCCACAGGCCTGTTTTATGGGTGCCATAGACTACCTCCCTCCTCTATAGTAATGCTGACAACACAGCATCTTAAGTCAGAATAATTTGTCTTAGCAGTGCATTCATTTCTGTTTTAAGGGTATGAAGAGTCCCCATTCAATCAGCAACTATGTAGGATTCCAGATGTTACATTTTATCTGCTTCCATAGACCCTTTGCTCTAAGAACCAAACACGTTTTCGTTCTTAAATGTTAGTGACTCTCCCTCAAGGAGATCTCTAATTTTCAGTCATGAATTTTGTGCAACATTCTCTGGTTTGGCCAGCTTGCTTAAAGCATACTCCACAATCTCCAGGTTGTTGTCTTAAGCCTTAATGACTTACAAATGTTCTGCCCCAGCCAACTTGACTGCCCTAGGCTAGCTGGGTTTATGCATCTTTGGTCCAAAAGAAAAAGGACCAGGCAATTGTTGCAGCTCAATCACTGCTCAAAGGATTCCCTTCAGGGGTGGAGGTACTCTTGAACTGCACAAGAGCCCCTAAAGAGCCACTCCTCATGTGGTTTCTGGCGGAGCTGGGCAGTAATCAGCCAGCTTGAGTAGGAAGGAGATACATCTAAGAAAGAATGGGAAACAGGCAGCAAGGGGTGTGTTAGTGCTTTCTATACAGTTGCTAGAACTGTTTGTTTCTGTTAGTGAGGAAGGAGACACCTAGTTTAACTATTTCCCAGAAGTTCCTTGTTACAGTATACATTCTTACACTCTTATTTAGGTCCCTAACACTGAAGTTTCCTGACAGTCTTTGGCTGAAAGCTACAACTACAACTAGGATTTCATGTTGTTTTTTGATTAAGGACAGTATTGTAGAATCCCCACCCTCTTTCCTTAAAAGTGGGCACGTATGGCACTGGATACCAGCATTTACCTCAGAATTTTGAATTTACTCTGAAAACATCTACATTTCTGAGTGAACTGGTAGGGGCAGTTTGTCATGGCAGATTAAGAGGATCGAGTGAGGTGGTGTAATTACTTTATACTTGGCTTATTTTCATTGTTGCTGCTGCTGTTTTTTTTGAGGCAGAATCTGTGTCCTGCCAGCTCTCCTGGAACTCACTATGTACACCACGGTTGCTTGCTTCTGACTCCCAAGTGCTGCTGGGATTAAAGGTGTGCACCACCACGACTGGTGACACTTGGCTCATTCCTGTTGTGAGCATTCCTAAATAAATGGCATTCTTTTCAACATTAACACTAAAATTCTCCTCACCCTTAGAACTAGACATTCCATTTCCATTTACTTTTGTACTGCATACCTAACAGATTTTCTTTAACCCAAATTCAAAGGATACAATTACATGTCGATCAGATGGGTTTCGCTGGCGTGTCCTTTCTAACTGACATAATTGCTTGGCTTCTCGATTCTTTGCTGTTAATGTTGCTTTGAGATCATCCTGCAAATAAGCAGGATCATTTTTGTTAATGAAGCTTTCTGACTTAAGAAATAAAACAGACTCTATTTTAAGAATGAAAGACTACTTTGTATTTGATCCAGGCACCATTAGAATATGAGTTATGAGTATTATAGAATGTACATGTGGTGTGTGGGTGTGCACATGACAGAGAACATGTGTTTCCTTAATGTTCTCTCAAAATGACATTATGAATGTAAAATGAACCATATAGATATGTGGTATAGTTTTGGATATGAAAACTCAACACTAAAAATTAAGAATTTTATTGTGTGTAAATTATATTTATTAAGTTTATTTTAAAAATGAGTTTGTTACATTTTAAAAATACAAGTCACCTGCTTTAAAATAAAAATAGGTAAACACATTCATTAACAAAATAATTTCTGCTGATGAATCTATGACTAAATATTAAAATATTTTGAAATTTCCATAATAATACTTTTGGCTGCTAGAGTAGTATAGTAGTAGAGCAGCAAGCTTAGTAAAAATGCTTCATTATTTTTAAAGATGCAACCAAGAAATTATTCTTCAAAGTATATAAAGAAACTAACTACATGTTACTTTGTATTTATTACTAAGAAGACAGAATGCTCATTCTTTGTCAGAGTAACAGTGGATTAAAAAAATGGATTTACTTACCCGTTTCATTTTTACAATGGTTCCATAAGCTTTCAAAGGTTCAACTACTTTGGCTTCAAGTCTTTCAACCTATTGAAAATTATTATAAAATATAACTGAAAAGAAACATAGAGATATCAAAATTTAAATACTGAAATGAAATCTATGCTGTTTAACTTGAAATAATTATTGTACAGAGTAATATTTTCAAATTTTTAAGTTAAAATGTTACTGCTTCAGACATTTTTATCAAAGGATAATCATATCTAGATAGATATTGCTAATGCTTGGAATCTAACTTCAAACACATTAAACACTACTGAACTACAGAGTAACAGTAAACAGAAAAGTACCTGAAATCAGTGGGACAGGAAATGCCTGGAGTGGCCATCATAGTATTATTTTACCTTAATGCAGAAGTTCTCAGGAAGTGGTAAGATATCAAATTTTAATACATCTACCTTTTTCAGTGTGTTTAAGCAATGTTGACTATTTTCCAGATATTGTCTCATAATTTTATAGCTCAACTTTCCAGAAAATTTGAGGAAGACGTAGTATTACTAGAAACATTTAAAGAAACACAACTCTAAAAAGCAAAAAAAGCTTGGGGATTACTGCATTAGTTATGTTTTTCTAAGAGTCATTCAGGACTCATCCAAGCCCAGAGAATAGGATAAATGCTAATCTGTCAAACTGTACAGCTGATCTCTTCATATACGTGGAATTAAACAGGCTCTTGTTAACATTTCAATTTTTATAACAAATAGCAATTCTTTTAATAATAACATTAGTAAAAAGAACTGAGGAAATATTTTTATACAGACAAGTGCATATACAAATATAAGAATATATAACTGGGGCATTAAAACTGTCAGGACGGACAATCAAATGACATCTATTTCATTGCTTAAAACAAACTTTTGTAGCACATAAATTTCATTTCATATTGATTCTTCTTTATTTCCTATAAATAATGCTATATGTTTCATTTTAAAAGATTTGCGGGAAATAAAAAATAAGTTTCCATCTAAATTTGAATATTCATAATCTTAAAATCAAAGGCATGAATATTGAGGATGGTTTAATGTATACAATTTCTAATAAACTATACACTGTTTACTCATTGTAAGGATTAGCCAAGCCTGCTTTTTGTTTTGTTTTTTTTTTTAGTCTCCCCCCACTTTTTTTTGAGACAGAGTCTCCCTGTAGCCCCAGCAGGCTGGAACTCCCTAGGTAGACCAGGCTGGCCTTGATCTCATACAGATCTGCCTGCCTCTGTAAAAGTTTGGCCCCCAGGCCTGGCTCAGTTCCCCTTTTTTGTTGCCTACCTTTTGTCATGTTCATTCGCACCTCCACCATGTGATAAGCAGGGAAACAGAAGCAGAGTACATGCAAATCAGTTCACTTTGCTATTTGATATCTAGCATAAAAGTTTTCTAGAAAGGGAAAATCATTGGCTGAAATAGGACTTGGTGATTATCTGTGGATATACATTAGTTTTGAAACTTTCACTCTCCATTTACTGTGTGTAATTGAGAATGCGTGTTACAGAAGAAATGTATGACAAGAACTCAACATTGTCCTGACATGTAACCAAAAGTGATTACTATTCAAAATTTTTAATGGTAAAGACTATGGGTTCAAAAGTAATTCTACTTGTTTTGCTTTTCGGTAATTAAAATTTGTTTTAGGTTTTAAAAATGAAAAAAATCAAAAGCACCGTCCAAAAAAAGAATGAAAGCAATCGAGTTTGACCTTGGCAACTCCTGGTAACTGGTATGTTGAGAGAGAACAAGTTCTTGGTCAC